ACCCACCCTCCGCACCCTAGAGTTTGCGCAATCAAGCACGCAACGCTTGAATTGCAACTTACTTGGCACGCATTGCCACGCACTGCACGCAAATCATACGCACTGCATGCAAATCATTGTTCGCACACTGCATTTGTTGTTTCACGCATCGCAGTTGCATTGCATTAGAGTTTCACCAGGGGTTTCAGTTCTGTTTCCGCACCGAACATTTCCCGTGCAACTCGTGCCAAAAAAGAGGATCTTGTCCGAGTGTTGTGCAGTGAGGGCCATGCGTAAGAAGCAATGTTTGAACATTCCCACATAGGGATTGCAGAAGAGCCGCAGCTTCCGGGCAGAGTGCTTGATGTTCATCACGCATCAGCCACCTGGAAGCTACCCTCAAAGCAGCCAAAATATGAAAAGATGCGCGTGCTGTATAACAAAAAATGCGCGTGCTGGCGGCTTGTTGTGGAAGGCGTAGATTTCTGTTTTGTTTTTGAGTGTGTTGTGAATCTCATGTTACATTTGCTGCCAATGCTGCTCTGAGGCCAAGCCTGGTCAGCCCATTACAATCCACATGTAAATCGGTTTCCATGTAACAACCATTTTTTTGATTCAATTTCCCAGTTCCTTGAGACCCTGAGCCGCACTGCGTTGTTGCTCTGGAAAGGCCCAAGGCATCCGGAGTTGCCCATGACATCATCATTCTTGTAATCACCCCATGCACCATATTTGGGCGAGTATCGGACACCTTCATTGGTTTGGTGTGTGGCCGCGCATCCACGTTACGTTGATTATCGCCCCCATGAGACCCCCATGTTGGGACATTGTAGGCCATTTCAGGTGCAAAATGACATGTTTGCAGTCGTGCCTCATGTGAAGACTTGCACAAATAAATTGCGTAGTGGGTAGTACGATGCTTTATGTACCCATATGGTCCCATGTCCCAATTCGTCATGTTGAGTGATCTGACACGTTTTTACTTGTAGCTTCCATCCAAATATGTTTTTGTGAAGCAATTAACATGTATGCAAAGTGATTGATCCCGGAGGAACCAGACTGTCGTTGTTTGCAACCACAATAGGGTTGCGTGACAACCGCATATATAGAAAAACCAACGGTTTTATGTGCCATTGTTCCAATAGAGACAGCATATGGTGTTGGGTACTGGTCAAGTTGAAATGTCTGTGCACGAGGCCCATATGGAGCAACAATGTAATTGTTTGTAATTGCATTTCAACCCGTTATATGAGATTCAAAGCCATGTTTGGCATTTCTATCAATTAGCTACATGTTTCTGCCTACGCATGTCCGTTTGTTTCGCAGCCGCTCCCAACAGAGGTGACAGGCTTAGAGCTGTGCGGTTTGTTTCCTTGCAGCACCGTAGACCCACAACAACACAGGCCAACCTGCAAGATGGCAGTGTTTGAAGAAGCAGTTGAGTTGCTGCATGTGCGTGTTCGATTGCAGGACCCCTCATTGCCATTTTGGCTTGTTGTGCCGAAGGATATGTCGAAATGGGAGGCATGGTATGCAGATCATGAAGCTGTAACTGTTTAGCTGTCCACGGCACAGGTGGTGGGTGGAGCTGACAAAGGAGGTATCTTGGTTCGGAAAGGCCAAGATTTGAAGTCCGAACAGCTGACGGATCGCCACTTGGCGGCATCGAGTTTTCTTATTACGTGTCCTTTCAGATGTTTTGCTCAAATGTCACATCGGCTTGGGAATGCAAACGACTGACAACAACTGGTATTATCTTGAAGTTCAAAGCACTTGCAGCTGAGGTCTTTCGACCGGTGCTCTGGTCTTCCTCATGTTTATTTACGTCGGGTAATTAAAGGGGTGTATGTGTTAGAGCTGTACGCAAATTGTGTTGGCAGGTTCGTCTGGTGCGAGTATGTTGCTTCAGCTGCTCAGCATCAAAGCGGATAATGAACAAATCATGTTTCAGCAAATGCTAATGTGTTTGATTCTGTGGATGTCATCATTGAAGAAGGGTCGTTTAAACTCAGAATGTCATTCATTCGCCAGTGAGGCTGCATGCCCGTAAAAAACCTTTTAAATCTCGAAAAACAGGTGTGCCCAATATGTTGAGATACTTTCTTTTTCTGGCCATGGAAGCCAAAGCGCTGGGGACGAGAGTGGCGCAGCTACATATACGACACGGGCTGTGCTGGGTTGGCTGCATCTTTGTTCAACTTGTTCCGAGCCGTGGCCAAAGGTGTGAGTTCCCGGTCCCGTGAAGAGCGGACGCCATGAAGAAGTTGGGCACGCCGAAGGCTGTGCGCAACTTCTTTGCAAGCTCCTCAGGTGAGAGCCGGACCTTTGATCAAAACTTTACACAGCTGAATTTATTCTTATTGACAGTGTCGTTCTTGAAACCCACGACTGAGGATGGAGGCAATCGCAGAGGCGAAATTGGCGAGTTCAAGGAGGAAATCATTGCTTGTTGCGTGCTGTTTCGAAGCGGACTTGCCATGACTGCTGTTCTGAAGGAGCTAAATCATAATAACAAAGATAGAAAGAAGGAGGCGCTGAAGAAGGCTGGTGTGAGTGAGCATTGCCTGTTTTTATTGCCCTTCCTGCCTTCACTTGTGCCCATGGTTGCTCATTTGAATTTTGGATGTGTTTTCGCAGGTCATTCAAGCGATGACTTTAGGCAATGACGTCTCTTCCCTTTTTCCAGACGTCGTGAAGTGCATGCAGACAAACAGTCTAGACCTCAAGCACCTTGGTTGAAATCAGAGCTTTGTGTATCAACTTTCATGCAAATTTGCCTTGGATTTTTGCCGCGCTTGTAAGGAAACTGGTCTACCTTTACGTGATCAACTATGCCAAGGCGTGTTGCAAGTCTGCTATGATCGTTTAGTCTGGAGACATCAGAGACCTTGACTGTCAGTTGTGAGTTGGACATGAAACCCTTTGTGCCATCATGTTGCTTGTGAGGAAGGATTAAAGTGGTTATTTGCTCTCGCATCTGGTTGCAAGTATGGATGCTTTGGTTGTGCTGCCTTGGTTGTCATCATTCTTGTAGGTGCTCTTCACGTCGTCATGACTGATATGATCATTTCATCTCCTCATTTAGTTGCTATGGTCATCATTTACCATGAAGCCGTAGACTGAAACTCCAAAGGCGCAGCCAGACTTGGCCATCCTTGCCATCAACGCCTTCCGAACGGACCGCTGGGCCAGAAACTTTCTTTGAGTTCTCTGCAATCTACTCACACAGAACAGTCCTCGACATGGGGCCCTTCTGGCAGGGATCTTCATAGTAGTGCCACAACGCTACATAGTCGTTCCAATCGTTACGAGAGTCCATATGATTGCTTCGGTTATCCGCACCATACATGACTCAGGATCATCCCCACGGAGGATCCTCATCATCATGCTGTGTATCTAAGGTTAGAAGTATGGGCGCCTAATATGTGGGGGGAGCCTAGGGATTCTGAAGGTGAGTAGGGGCCCATGGTTGCAACCATGAACCCTAAACCCTAAACCCTCACTTGCAACCTTAGAGTGTGTAGGAAGTATGATGGCACGGGCCAAAGACGACAAAGACAGGTACCGTACAGAAAGTCAGGATGCCGTATTCGAATGAAGCAGCTACGTGGATGCAGTAAGGGGAGCCCTAGCCTGTAACAATTCCTCAACCCCTAAACCCGAAACTCCGAAATCTTCAAGCCCTAGACCTCTAAGCCCTAAACCTCTACACCCCTAAGCCCGAACCCTTAAACCTCTACACCCTAAACCTCTAAACCCCTAACCCCTAAACCCCGACCCCGAAACCCCTCAACCTCTAACCCCTATACCCTACAACTTTAGAGCCGCGAGGATGCCAACGATCCAAACAACCCTCTTCTGCGTGCGCTCGCAGCCAGGGCCTCATGTTGGTTAAGGGTTTAGGGGTTTTGGTTTGGGGTTTAGGGTTTGGGGTTTAGAAATTCTAGGTAATGCTTGCCCAGCAGTGGAGAATGAGACGGAAAAGAGCATTGAAACTAGAGCGGGAATGGGAACATTCCAAATCAACAGGCCTGTGTTTTTCTGGGGTGTTGTTTCATTCAAGTTACTATATAGGCAAAACCCTCCTATTCACTATATAAACTTGAAGTTCCTTAACAGCAGCCCAGTTTTTGTAGAGTTTGGGGCTACGTAAACCCTAAACCCTGAACCCTAAACCTAAGCCCTAAACCCTAAATCCCTAAACCCTAAACCTACAACAAAGGTTAGGACCATGGGCTGCATCCGCCTGGAGAAGATGACAGAGTACCTGATTGACCCGCTACGGAGGCAAGACTCCCCAAATAAAGCATGAGAGTGGGGCTTAGGGTTTAGGGTTTATCTGGGGTCTACATTGGGATCCCAGCTTCAAATGGAATATGCCACAGGTTTGTTCGAGTGGATTTCTCGCAGGTTTTATGCATCGTCGCTGCCGTTCTGTCTTTGCCTTGGCCTCTTTCAGGAGTTGCAGAGACATGGACGCATGGGTTCGCAAAACTGCGACGATCTGCATTGCCAAGCTCTATGACATCAATCCGGAGTTGGTGGAGGATCAGGCCTTATTTCTTTTACCCCAACTCTGCCGGACCATATCTTCAGCTAGCTATCCGATTGTATCTGCAGCAGGCCCAGCCACAAACCCTAAATTGAGTGCAGGGCGCAGCCCACATGCTGCATGCCTCGCGAGGGATTTCTGGACATTTTGCGGGATATGCTCGGGGACTCCAATCCGCCTGCTTCCCAGGATTTCACTAGCAATCCTTGCGTTGAAGCACTTGTGGAGTAATCCCCTCCCCCAAGTAAATAACCCCCACCCCCCTAACATGAAGCACAGACCCCGAACTATCGAGGCGACAATTTTAAGCAACACCTGATTGAAGGGATTTGGGGAGTGTTCAACGTAAAAGGGGTGTTGCGCAATTGGGCTAAGGGGGTCAATCCCCCACCCCTATTGTAGGTACAATAAAGCCTTAAAGCCATACGTAGGGGACCCCTATATCCATAGTAGTTTCCATTTTCTTTTCCATTATTTCTATATAACCCCTATATCTACCCTACTATACTATAGTAGTTTACATTTTATTCTCCACTATCCCAATAGAACCCCAATGTATACCCTATAAATCCCTATATAAACCCTATATAATCCCTGTAGTTT